CTATCTCGTTTCCTTTTGCCTGTTACAAACAAATACACAAAGACATAATACCCTGACCACCTTCTGGTGTATGGTATAAAAGGTGATGTTGCATCCAAAGCCGTTGTAAAAGTTATGAGAGTCGAAACCTCCACCTTCTATGGTTCCCAAATTAAAGGCCGATGGAGCCGGTTTATTCTTCAAATTCTAACGAATATATTTTTACCAGTGTCTCTCCATGCAACACTAAAAGTATTGATAACTTTACAACTATCATTCTCTATAGCAGCGCTCTCACCCTCCTCTCTTGTCTCTCTCTCTCGCCCCCGCAATTGTTGTGCTTTTGTAACTTAAGCCAATTGCTGTAAAGTTCAAATGCAATGTCAGGGCAGTAAATGTGTCCGACGACGCCACAACGACAAATGAACTGACGACGAACAACTCGACGACTGTTTGTGTGTGTCTCTCTGTGTGTGTGCATCTGTTTATTTTCCATTTTTTTTTTTTTTTTTTTTTTTTGTTGGAAAAACATTTAAAGGCAAATGTGAAATCAATTGCCACAAATACTTAACTTACCTGAATTTCAGCTTCATTGAGTCTGCAAACAGTAAATAGGAAAACAGGAAATTAGTTTTGCATTTAATAGTCGATATAAAGAAGCCAGAACGACAAAGATGATCCGAAGAGGAAGAAGCAGCAGCAGCTGAATACGAACAAGACCAAGATGAAATAGAGAATATGCATTTTCAATGAATTCAATTTTGTAATAATACAAACAGTTAGTCGTAACCAATCTTTCCCTTTTAAATTGACTATATCGAATATTTGCTTTTTGCTGAGGTTTTGTAAAATGGTGTAATTAAAACATTTGAAAGAGAATTTCGGGGGGAGGGGTAGGGGATAATACTACAGCTTTAATTTATTGAAATCAAAATGATTTTAATTTTGTGAAAATAAATTTAATGTAATAAAGTTTTGAAAGGCAAATATTCGAATGATCTCACAATTAGGAAAATTCTTAGTAGGGAAGGTACAGATACCAGAAGGAGTGGACCGATATATCCTATCTTCACATGGTATCTTCAATTAGTAGAAGTAATAGAATTTGTGAAATATAAAGAGAACTGATGCTTATTTCAGATTTTATAAACGCTTTGGTCATTCAAAACTTTGACCCTTTGTGGGGGAGGTACCAGAAGGAATAGTCCGCTCTCTACCATCTTTATGAGAAATATTATTAAATAGAAATATTATTAAATTGAATAGAAACGGATGTTATTTTCGCGTTTTAAAAGCTTAATGGATATTGAAAATTTTGAGCCTTTGTGGGGGAGGTACCAGAAGGAGTGTGCCGATATATCCAGTCTTAATAACATTATTGGTATGTGTGAAATTTGAAGACATTCGGACTTTTACATAATATTTAATAAGAGTTATAATAATTCTAAATTTGTTACTTGATGGAATGAACTGATATTTTGCATTTTAGCACCTGACGCAAATATTTATATTTGCAAAGTTGGCGATCTTCGTTTCTCTTTCTCTGCGGAAAATATTTTTTTGAAAATGTCGACTTTTTGTGGGGGAGGTACCAGAAGGTGTAGACCGATATATTCCATCCCCTAACTCTATCTAAGTTTGATAAAAATATTACGATGTACCAAGTTTGGACCAAATAGGTTACTCCCTTCGAGAGTTATCGTGCGCACCAGCCAGACAGACGGACGGACATAGCCAGATTGAATCCAAATGTCTTCAAACGAATTTTTCCAAAGAGATCTAGGATCTAAAACATTTATTTCGATGATGCACATTTTGACCGTATCAAATGATACATATCCTCTCTAGTCATATGGCTGAGGGTATAACTAAGGCTGAGGGTATAATAAAAAAAAATATCATCCAAAGGTCCTCCATATATTTTTTTTACCTCGACCATAAGAACTAACATTTTCGACTTTGGCTCTATAAAATTTGTCCAAATACACACTTTTATAAAAAATTTATGTTCAGTGTCGAGGCTCATTTTAGGCTCAAGGTTACAAAAATTAGCTGGATTTAGCGACATTATCACAAATTTGGTGTTTGAAGTTCGTAATGGATACTATAGCCTATGACAGAAAATTGTCTGAGCAGGTCCACATCTTCGTGTAGCCCTCATATAATGGTACCTTCCTACAGGATGAGATAATAAAACTGCAACAAAGTAAAACGCCATAATTTTTACATTTTTTTTTTTTTTAATTTTATTGAATGAAAGCAAACAATGTCGGAAATAGCATCCAATTTTGGAATAAGTTTAGATTTATTCGAATTGGTCACCTTTGGCACGAATTATGGCCTTCAAACGGCCAATGAAACCGTCGCACACTCTGCGGCATTTTGGACTCGTATTTGCGGATCGATACTTTGGTATTTTTTTATGCCAACCTTGCTTTCCAAAATACTCCAGACACAATAGTCCAACGGATTGGTATCCGGAGATCTTGGTGGCCGTTGTGCGCTGGAAATGACGCGAAGACCCTAATTTTGTAACCATTCTTGGGTGGCGGGTGCTGAGTGCGATGGTGCTGAGTCCTGTTGGAATGTCCAAGGCCTGCAGCCAAAATGTTTGCGTGCCCAAGGCTTTTATACACCTTTCAGAATATTTTTGCTATAATATTCTGCATTTATTTTGATGCCACGGTCGATTAATACGAGCGAAAAGCGACAATTGGCTGTTATGGCGGCCCACACCATAACCATGGCCGGTGCTTGAGTTCTGGTGGCCAGCAGAAGGTGCACATTTTCAGCTGACCTCTATGGCAAGTAAACACGATCGTTTTGTGTGTTTACAAACTGCTGGACAACGAATGTTTTCTCATCGGAGAAAACCAAATTCGCCAGTTCACCACTTTCGGCCAAGCGAAGCAAATCTTTAGCTCTTTGGAGTCTATTTCCTTTCTGCTGCGAAGTAAGTTCTTGCACTTTTTGGAATTTCAATGACTTTACCCCGAGCTGACTTTGCAATATTTGCCGAATGGAATATTCAGCCCACGAACCTTTTTCGGCCATTACAACGCGGGTTTCGATTAAGTCGCTTCTTTTATTTTCGAATCATTTATGCTGATGTTGTTGTTTTCTTTCGTCCACTTCCTTGACGTCGAGCTACGCTACCAGTATAACGGCAATGAGAGATGGTACGAGACACAAAATATTTATTTACATTTAATTGCTGGAGTGCTCTAACAATAGCCACTAATATTTTTTCAGCCAAATATAAAGAAATCACACTATCACGCTTGAATTCCATCAAGAATAACATTTTTTCTGGAAAACTCTCATCCAATGTTTTGATGCGCTTGTAAACAATATAATGAGCTGTCACTGGAGTAATTTTAACACCTGTCGGACGAGTGGCTTAGAAATGACAGCAGTCTGAATTTGGTTGCAGTTTTGTCAGCTTACCATGTATATTTGAGCTATACCTAAATTTGAACCGACTCTCTCAGTGTTCGGTGGTTTTAAAATTTACATTACAAACTATAGTATTCGGTTTGTAAATCAAAACCCAAAAGCAATTTCGAATTCTCAGACTATATTTTTAGGCCTTTATATACTCTTTTATCAATATTTTGTCAATCTTAGAAAATCTATAGGGAGCTTTGATTTACTCCAGGAATTATTTATTTGATAGGAATAGACACCATTTTTACTACATTTTAATCTCATTTTTCATTCATTTATGACACATTTTAGTATTTTAAGTTCTTATAATGTAGAAAGGCTAATAACAAAATTTTTTTAATTTAGGTCTTCGTTCCGGTACAGCCCTTGATAATTCTTATATTGGTTTTCTCATGAGTAGAAAACATTCCGATGGAAGCTGTTTAATATAAGTGAAATATATAAAGGCTCACATTTACAAATAAAGGCCAACAAATATTTTTATTTAGTCGTAAATTCCATATCCAGTGGAAAATGTGGCTAGAATCATTACTGTACCGAATATAGGGTGGTACCCTTATATGGGGACGCCAACTATTGATGATCTACGTCAAATAATGTGGCTGGGTTAACATATTCAATATAGCGGCATCCCCATTTTTTCGGGATTCCACAGTGTGCTAACCAAAATGTCAACAGATATTCATTCTTGCCCATAGACCCCACTGCCGATTTCAAATATCCAAGTAATATTCGACAAAATTGTTTGAAGTGATGAAGATTTTTTTCTTTTATATCTTTTAAAAGGTCTGCAATATTATTAGTAGCTATAACTTTTACGTAAATTTCTAATACCCAGTGTATATCGATCTTTCAATTTCACATTCAAATACTCTATGAAAATACAAAGAGATTTAGCACAGCATTGCCACATTAAAATTCCATACCAAATAATTATATTTCCCAAAAAATTAAAATTGAAAGCTCTTTTTCCAATGTCTCTTAAAACTTACTTTCTCTGCATTCCGTTACTCTCCTTCAAATGAATATGTGCGTCACAACAGCCGAGAGCAAATACAAATTTACCTTCGTATTTTCCTTGGCACTACTAACACACATTTCGCGAATTCTCTCTCTCTCTCTCTCACTCCGTATCATGTGTAAAATTCAATTGTTCTCTATCTCTCGCTCTTGGAAATAAAACACTGTTGCTTGCATGTTAGAGGAAATTTGCAAAAGAAAATGGTATGTGTGTCTTTTATTACCCAGAGAATAAAAGTGGCTTAGTGAGAGCAATATTAAGAGAGATAGAGAAAGAGACTTTGTGGATTATATGTTGTTGTTTTGTGGTCCTCATGAATGTTGTTTATTTTGCCTCGTAACGTATACGCAACATGGTGGGGATAAAATTGGAGATTTTTTGTTGCTCCCATAGCTGATGCTTGCTGGCTGGTTTGATTGCCTTGTGTTCGTGTGTGTGTGTGTGTGTGTGTGTGTGTGTGTGTGTCTGTTTGTATTGCCATCGTTGGGCTCCATGTGGTTCATGTGTGCTGTGGTTGTTATGACTTTTATTTACCAAAAACAGAGGAGGACTTTCGATAAAAGATTTTTCGAGTTTTAGTCAAGTTATGAATTTCAAACCGAAAGGAACGTATGTTGACGCGTACGCGTATCTCTTACAAAAACACAAAAAGAAAAAGAATAAATCTTGTTGCCACACTTTGATTTTTGTTGTTGATAATAAAATACCATTATAACCGATGATGATAATAATTGCAAAAATAAAATAAAACGAAATTACGAAGAAGAAAAATAGAAATTAATCGGAAAAATATTTCCCAGAGTGTGTGTGTGGCTTTCTTTGTGTATTTGGTTAAAAGAAAAGTTATTTGTTTTTAATTATCAATAAAATAAAGTTGTTTTTTTCTCTCCCGCTCTATTGTTGACGCTACATCTTTGTGGTTATTATTGTGTATAAAATCTTTGGAAAGAAAATTGTGTGTTTTATCTTGTGCAAAAAAAAGAAACAAAACTAAGTTTTTTTAGAGTCATTGTGTTATTGTTGTTACCATCACTTGTTTTGGCTATTTTAAGCATTCTGTGGATTCTGTCAAGTCCAAATTTAATCAAGGTGAATACTTTTGAAGAGTTCTGTTCAGAAAAATTGCAAATAAATCTTCAAATATTTCATGTCAGCTTTTGAAATTTTCCTTTGAACATTTGCACCATTTCATCTTTCAACAAAAAATATTCAAGTATATATTGGCACTTTATTACACAATACAAAAAGTAAAACAAGCTAGAAACTTGAAAAAGAAAATTGAAAACAAAATAAAATTATCAAAAGGATCCTTTAAACCCCTCCGCTCTCAAATGTTTCCGCACAACCCCAGCATCACCATTGAACTTAAGCCAGCAAACATCCAGCCAGCAAACTCAACAAAAATAAAGTGGCAGAATAAACTAATTTAACTAAAAGCAAATAATAATTACACAAATAATAAAAAAACACAAGTTTCGGTTAAAACGGGTATCTTTAGAATAAGGAAGTAAAACCAAAAAAAAACAAGTGGAAAATAATTATTATTTAATAATTGAAAATAAATAAAAAATAAATAAAATTATTTGATTTCCCAAATGAAATCACAGAGATAAACTACAAAAAATCACTCATGTAAATATTAAAAACAAACCGACAAAAAATAAGGCAACAACAAACATAAAAGCACAACGTCAACGTCATCTACCAGCACAAAAAAAAAACAACACAAATCAGCTGCAACCAAACGAAACATGAAAACATGTATTTGCAAAGTAAGCAATAAATAAATTAATAATTTAACAGCAATAACAAAAAGAACATAGATCCCCTCCACCACATAAATTATTAATAAATTTCATGCAAAACAAACAAGTCAAGTGTTACACCGAAAAAAAACATACAAACAATAAACACACACTCATACATAAACACACATATCTGGGAAAATCCATCAAGCATATTGGGAAAAATGCACAGGCCATTCGGTGGGGAGCAAACGAACGTAACATGAAGAACACCACAAAGCGGGGTAGGGGGAAGAAGGACGTTTATTTTTTTTCTTACCAACACGACACAATACAACCCGACTAAACAAGTTCACTGCACCCCAAGCCGTAGCGAACCGAACCTTAGTAGACGCTGACAAACGTCAGCGCCACTGAAATGTGAATAATTTTCAAAATGTAATTAATTAATTGTATTCGATTGTGTGTGTGTGTTTCGGACATTTCTGCAATGTATTTATAGAAAATAATATCATTATTATTTTTCTTTTCTCGATCATACAGTGACCTTAAAAAATCTGCACAGGGAACAATAGTTTTTTGTTCAATTAATATTTGTGGGAAATTCGAAATTTTAAAAATCCTTTTTTTTTCTGAACAATACTGAAGATCTATATCGGATGGTATGCAACAATTGTTTTAATTATTGATGAAATTTCCACTAGATTTTCGGTTGACAGGAGACTTCTCTATGCAAAATTCTTCAACCTCCTCTTAATATAAGTTCTTCTATAAGGTTTCCACCAATATAAAATTTTATACAGTTTTATATAATAAAAAGTTCATGTATATGTACGAAGAGAACATCTGAAGTTTTGGTTTAAATAGAATTTCTGATATAGGCATTTAATGGATCAAAAAGAGGCCCCAGATTTACAAGGTTCTAGAGAAGACAACCTTTTACATAGAATACCTAAAAAGATTATCTAAGGTTTGAGCAGGTTGAAAGGTTGTTAAAATAATCTTTATAGGTCAGCTGTACTATTATGCACTCCACCATGAGAGGACCAATCCAACCGTCTTTTGAAATCGAATTAGAGTTTACAATTTTGAGGGCAAGTAATCTATAGTACAGGTTGAGATACATTTTTTTAACTTTATTGAACGAAGGAAAAAAAATATAGGGAATAGCATGAACATTTTAGAATAAGTTTAGACTTGTTCGAATTGGTCACCTTTGGCACGAATTATGGTCTTCAAACGGCCAATGAAACCGTCACACGCTGCCCGAATGTTGCTCTGTGGAATTTTGGCCCATTCCCGGTGAAGCGCTTGCTTGAGGTGATCGACAATTTGGAATTTTTTAGTGCCAACCTTGCTTTCCATGGAAATGAAGCGTTAGTGCATCAAATGGCCAATATAAGTCCAGATGACCTGAATTTTGGCGCATCCAACCGAATTGAGCGTAGAAGCCAGTACATCAAATTTGGTCAAAATCGCCAATTTGGTGTTAAAGTCCCTCACGTGAGTAATACGCACATCACAGCAATGGTATTTGATACCGGACATCAAAATCATCTCGATAATACTGCTGCCAATTTTTATCGAGATCGGTTCAGATGTGTATATTCCTTCGATATACATCTTCTTCAGATTTTACACTTATTGTTTACCTTATATGTAATATCAGCCTAAATTGGATATATCTTTTAATATTCAATTGATTTTTTCATTTGGTGAAACTCAGTCCGATATATCTATTGCTCTAATAAATATTTATACCCTCAGACATATGGCTAGAGAGGGTATGTATAATTTGACACGGTCAAAACGTGCCTAGTCGAAATAACGGTTTTATACCCTAGGTCTCTGTGCACCAAATCCGTTTCAGAACATTTGGAGTCGATCTAGCGATGTCCGTCCGTCTGTCTGGCTGTTGCGCACGATAACTCTCGAAGGGAGTATCCGATTAAGTACAAACTTGGTACATTGTAATATTTTTGTCAAACTTATCTCGAGTCAGGTACCTCCCCCACAAAAGGTCGAAATTTTCAAAAAATATATTTTCTGTACAGAAAGAGAAAGGATAATCCAATTTTGCTCCAATTTTGCAAATCCTAATATTTGCTTCAGTTCTAGGTCTGGTACGAAGATGGGCAATATCGGTCCACTCCATCAAGTACATCCCTCATAAAGGGTCAAAATTTTGAATAATAACAACTCTCATAAAATGCGATGTAAGAGTCCGATTGTCTTCAAATTTTAGATATCCCAATATTTATATCAACGCAAGGTCTGGTGTTTAGATGGGGCAATATCGGTCCACTCCATCAAGTACATCCCTCATAAAGGGTCAAAATTTTGAACAATAACAACTCTCATAAAATGCGATGTAAGAGTCCGATTGTCTTCAAATTTCAGATATCCCAATATTTATATCAAAGCAAGGTCTGGTGTTTAGATGGAATATATCGGCCTAATGGTCGAAATTTTCAAACAAATCTATTTTTTTTGCACAGAAAGGGAAACAATTATCCGATTTTGCTCCAACTTTGCAAATCCTAATATTTGCGTAAGTTCTAGGTCTGGTGTGAAAGTGGACAATATCGGTCCCATCTATATCGGTACCTCCCCCACAAAGGGTCAAAATTTTAAATAATTACAACTCTTTAAAATGTTTTGTAAGAGTCTGATTGTCTTAAAATTTCACACATTCCAAAATTTATAATACAACAAGGTCTGGTGTTAAGATTGAATTTATCGATCCACTCCATCTGGTACCTCCCCCACAAATGGTCGAAATTTTCCAAAAAGAAAAAAAAAAAAAAAAAAAAAAAAAAAATATATATATATATATATATATATATATATATATATATATTTCGACACATCGCTATATTTATATCATATTTATGTAGGTCCGATACGAAATGGTCTATATTGGTCCATTCCTTCGGAACCATCGAGGTTCTACAATTTGATTAATCATAACAGAAGTCAAATATATATTTAAATAATTAACTTGTTAGTTTTTAAGTTAAAGGTTACCGATTGATAAAAATTAGAAACTTTTAATAAAATTCAAAAAATTAAAAGTGACAACGTTAACTAAAATTCGACGTACTCGGTTGACATTTTTCACAACACAAATTAAATACACATATATAAACGTAATCGAAATACTTCGAGTGTACGAAATTGCAAAGTTGGACAATTTCAATATTGACAATTGAGCAATTTATTTTTTGTGATTCGGAAATAGAAATCAATAATAGAAAAAAATGTGAAAATAATAGAATGAGTGGTTGTAACTGGAAATATAACAAATGGGCGATTTTTAACAACGTTGTAGTTAATAGTTACACTATTAGATCTAAATAATTTTCAGAAAGTATTTTGGATTTAAACCTATTTCTATTTAGTCATAAATAATATCGAGTCGAATATTAGTATTTCTCCGGAAAAAGTTAACTGAAATAAGAAAGCTGTTAATTTTTATTGACACTCTGTCCTTAAAACAAACTTTATTTTCGGCAAACAGTACATGTCATGTTTTCATGTCATGCAAAATGTTTCGTGGATATTTAATCGCCATAAATCGAACTGTTTCTAAGTTTGACCAAAATATTACAATGTGCAAGGTCTAGCCAATTGTGTCTCTTATTCACAAAACAATATTTTTGTGTGCTCGGTTCGTTGTTGGGAATATAATATTTAAATGTATTTTCGGATATGTTTATAGAGAAATGTATTTACATTTTTTCCCTACCCTTAAAATCAGTACTAGTCTATATGCTTGACTCTTTTTCTTTGTCGCCTTGCACTGATTTCAATGCCCAATTATAAAAATCAAGAAATTTTAAACAAAATTTAAAAATAGTTTTGGTTGGCATTGCCCTATATGTAACATTTCAAATAATTAATTTTAAATCTTCAAAAAAAAAATTATTACAAAAATGTTCTTGAATACTTTTTTTACTTACCATTGCCAAGGATTTTCAATCTAAACGGCCATTCAACTGGATTCCCCTTTCTCCCATTTTAAATAACTCCTGCTCCAGCGTCCCAATGTAAATGGCAAGTATATAATAACAAATGAAAAAAAGTTGCTCAATCATTTCCCGAGAAAGACCTTTTTGAAGGTCATAAGAAGCTGTGCAAAACAATGTGGTTATCACAACGAGCAAAACCCTCATCCCTTATCATCCTTTTTTATTAGAGTTTGGGATATATTTGTTATCTGCTTTGTGGTGCCACGAACGGAGAATGGAAAAAATGCGTTGGGATTTCAACATTTGGTCTGTAGTTCTTTCCCCTTTTTCTTTTTTGTTTGTATTGTTTGGGAGTTTTTTTTTTCTTATAAGTCTGTGACGTATATAGCTTAAAGTACTCTCTGTTAGAAAATTAGCAAAAATACTTAAGAATTCCTTAAATTTGCGGAATTATGAGGAATGGAGATGAGTTCTCAAATATTGTCTGTGAGTGAGAAATTGAGAGAGAGAGAGAGAGATTCCGTCATTTAAATTCATTAACGTAGAAATTGTATAGATCTTTGTTCGATTCGAAAAAAAACGTCTTAAGTCCAAAAAATTTTTGTTGCAAAATCAGTTTTCGAACGACAGGAAATGCTTCAGCACATCTATAACAAATAACTTTGAAAATCAGTCAACTGAGGTCTGAAATCGTAGCCCATTTTAAGAGTGGCGAAATATTGTCATTATAAAGATATTATGTATGCGGTTTTTCCTTTCCATTAAATTTCCTTAATTGTTTAAATATCGGATTCATAACAGATTTAGCATTTCTTCGGAGAAAGTAAAAATATAGCCGAAACTTGTACTATATATTTTTAAGCTATTGAACGGCAAAGATGGCCCTCATCGAACTAGCGATGTTTGACCCAATGTCTATTTGGACGAATTCCGTTTTTTAATATTTGGAGTCTATCCAGTCATGTGCGCTTTATAATTGAATTTTGTACAAACTTGGAACATTGTAGTATTAGATCAAGTTCGAAGATTACCTCAAATCATTTTCTTCTTTCCAAAAAAAAATCGGAATGTTAAAAACACATTCTTCATTGAAAGGAGTATTTAATATCAATTAAATTTCTCGTACCTTCCCCACAATACAACTAAATCTCGAGAAACTAACTATCGTAAAATCTCAAATCGGTGGACCATATTGATTAACTTTTTCTTCAACCTCTCCCTTAAATGATGAAAACGTCATTCGAAGTCCGTATTGACCGCATGCTGTGGGTATAAATGTCTCGCAAGCGAAGTGATAATTTCTAATTTGTTTTCTAAAATTTATTTATTACAACCTTTACACTCCACTTCCCTAAAATTATTGGAATTAATTTATGGGTGCCATATGGGGCTAAAATACGAAGTTTTATAATTTCCAGAGAAACGGGTGAGCAATTTGTGTTTATTTTCGCTAGATTGGTAAAACAAGTAAAGAAGCTGTAAGTTTGGCCAGCCGAACTTTGAATACCCTCCATCATTTGGAAAGAATTTGGTAATTTTCCAAAAAAAAAAAAAAAATCCGTTAAAAAATTCTGTTAAAATCTTAAAAATACCGAATGTAGCTGTTTTATTGGGGCCTATACGACAACGGAGGACTGCATAGGCAACTTTTGTCATAAGCCATTACAATATTCAAATGAGAAACTTGAAAAAAAATCGGTGAATAATGTGGTAAAAAACATTAAAATACCGAATATAGCGAGGTACCATTGTAATGGGAGCTTTACAAAAACGTGGACCTGCACAGACATATCGAATATTATATGAGGGGTATACGAAGATGTGGACTTGCACAGATAATTTTCTGTCATACTAATTTCATGTTATTACTAATTTCAAATAACAAAATTTGAAACAATTCCGGTGAATAATGTCGCTAAAATCATCAAAATACCGAATATCGGGAGGTACCGTTATATATATAGAAGACGTGGACCTACATTGTCCATTTTCAATACCAAAAGTTCTGCAGACATTCGACTTACATTATATCAACCTACTTTATTTCGTTCGGAAGCTAGAGTGATTTTCACAGACGGGCGGACATCGCTAAATCGACATAGAATTTTATGCTGATCAAGAATATATATATATATATATATATATATATATATATATATATATATATATATATATATATATACTTTCGAGGTGTTACAAACGCAATGACTAACTTAATATTCCCTCCATACTGTGGTGGAGGGTATAAAAAGTTGTCTTAAAGCAAATTACTGAATGCGAAACAATAAAATTTGAAGATAATATTTGAAATGGAATTTTCCGTTCACATTTACTTTCATTTTGTTTTACAGAAACATATCTTTAGCTAAAGTTGTGTCAATTAAGTTCATAGTTGGGTACACCTGTTCTGAAACGTATGAGTGATTTAATAAAGTGCATATCACTTATACGCAGATTTATAATACAAACGACCGGGGCCCACGGAATTAGATTAGTAACTAGTTCGTTCGATCGACCTCTGCCCTTAATGTAGTAAAACTGCGAAATCGGAAGACCTATTTCTCAGGTAGCTCTTTAAATATCTCCTCTCTCAGTCGATGTTTATTATTTCTGTCTCGATCACTCGACTCCTTTTAGCATTAAAGTGCTGTTAGGAGAATATATATGTAAAAAGAATATAAATTCTTAAAAACCCATTTGGCTTTTTTTCACAATTTCAAATTATTTATTTTTGAAAAAAAAATGGTGGAATGGAATTATGTTTTTCTCTCGCATTAATTTTCTTTTGACAAACATAAACAGGGTATGGCTATTTTATTAAATTTTTTTAAAAGTTTGTATTTTTTAACATAAATGTAAACAGAAAAAAAACACCATTTTCAAAATTTATGCATTTGAAAATATGTCTACAAGAGTCGAGGTTCAGTGCTTGAGATGTCTATGTTTTATATATTAACAGATTAAAAAAAAAATATTAATAATAAAAAAAAAAATAATAATAATAATAATAATAATAATAATAATAATAATAATAATAATAATAATAATAATAATAATAATAATAATAATAATAATAATAATAATAATAATAATAATAATAATAATAATAATAAAAATAATAATAATATGCATTAAAAATGTAGTTAAAGTATCAAAATACTAAAAATTGGGTTGTACCGTTATGAGACTGATATTAGTAAATAATTCTAGATAAATGAGATAGTACACATGACGAATATTTTTATTAACCCACGGTCTAGTGTGAAAACGGAATATATCGGTCCACTCCTTCTAGTACCTATTCCAAAGTTTTGAATATCCATGAAGCTCAATTTACCATTCGCTTCATGTCAAACTTGGTACATCTCAATATTTCCATCAACTCAAGAAATAAGCATATGTTTCTCCTTATATTTCACACACCCTATTATTTCTCCCAACAACAGAACTGCTGTGAAGATGGAGTTTGTCGGTCAATTGCTTCTGGTACCTCCCACACAAAGGATCAACATTTTAAATATCTATGAACTTATATATAGGAACTATAAATGTATCTAAACCAATTTTCACCAAATTTGAATTACTTGTTTCTAGGATGAATTCCGTCGGAATTGCAAAAATTCAGTCCATTTGGACAGGCATTGATCATTTGGTGCACAAAAATCTGAAATCGGATAAAGATATATATGGGAGCTACATCCAAATCTGAACCGATCATGACAACATTTTAAACACTTATTTCAGAGATGTTTCTGATATCTGGAACCAACGACTATTGTCAGGGAGTGCGATTGCAAGTTCAGATGGAGGCCTCCGTTTTTTTTAGAGCATTTTTTCTATCCCCATTTGGTCAAAAAGATTAGATATCTCAAATATGTTTTGCGAGGAGTTAAACCACCGAATAAGAACCTAAAATGTGAAATTTATAGTATCCTCAATTTTATGGTGTAAGGTATGAAACTCAGTTCTTTTTCATATTAATTTAAACAAAGAAGCCAACTATATTACAAGCATATGTATTGTAGTAAAATAAATTACTGAGTGCCACATGACATTGTTTACAGTGATGTTCTTTCGTTATCCAAACTTACGTCTATCATACATATTTATTCCCAAGTTATTTAAAGTGTATTAAATTTTTGCTCTATTTCAAATACATACATCTATATTTGCGAATTTTTGGGCTTTCACTGCACGTTTTTTCCAACATATCAATCCACATAGAAATTTTACTAAATTTACAATTTGTTTTCCCTCGTCTCATTTCAGTTAGCCCACGAGCGGCGGCAGCATGGACCAACCTAATAAACAGCGAAATTTAAATGCCAACAGCCCCAACAACAAATGGCAATGAATTTGAGCCTATGGAATTGTTTAGTTTAGTAAAAGTGAAAAATAATCAAAATCTAAGTGAAACCAACCCCTCAAAAGAAAACCAAAAAGAAAACAAAAAAGAAAATGTAAACAAATTTCCACTTAAGAATAGCCCATTAAATGTCTAAGTGAAAAAAAAAAATCCACCAATAAAATACTTAAACAAGCAAACCAACACACACACCCAAAAATGTAATATAAATAATTTTTAAATGTTTAAAAATAGTGTTAATGGTAAAAAGTGTAATTTTAAATAACAAAAATTAAAATAAACAGAATCCAAACGCTTTAGCAAACGATCACGGATAAGAAGAGGGAAACCCGAAATCTAAATGATCGCCAAGAAAAAAAAGAGTTGAAAATATGGAACAACTCTGTTGGAGGGACCAACTAAATGTAAAAAACACACACAAAACTAAAATTATGAAATTCGGCAAATAATTGATACAACTCAAAACTATTTGAAATTAAAAAAAAAAAACAACACCAAAATCTGAAAAAGAAAACATCAAATCGCACTTCACAAAATCTTCCAAAAAATCTAAAATTTCAAAATGGATTACAATACCGAATTGGATCAAAGCATCAATACCGGTAACATTAGTACCGATGATTTTCTGGCCATATTTACATCATCCACCACAGCCGCCAGTACGGCCATATCCAATGAGGCGGGTGGTGGTCCCGGTGGCGGTGGCCTCAAGGGCGGAGGGGGAGGTTTTCCAAATCACAATAATGTAACCATGAATCCGCCCCTTGTCACCATCGATGGCCAGTACACCGTTACAAGTTTATTTGACTCTGCCTTTGGGCCCACAGCTCCAAACCCCACAGCAGATCTAAACGACACACTCTTCCTACTCTCCTCCAGTTTCTATAATACCTCTCTGAGTGGGGCTGCAGCGGCGGCAGCAGCATCACCCACCATCAATCTTACCTCCTCCACCACCACACAGTTTGGCAACTATTTCAATCAGTCGTTTGCCGGCAATCTCACAAGCAATATCACCGAAGTCCACTGGGACGGACGCTATCCCAGCGGCTATACTCTGACACACATTGTGATAGCTTCGATTATTGTCACCATCCTCATGATCATCATCATTGTGGGCAACATGCTGGTCATCATTGCCATTGCCACCGAGAAGTCATTGAAGAACATACAAAATTGGTTTATTGCCTCGCTGGCGGTGGCCGATTTCTTTCTGGGCCTCATCATCATGCCCTTCTCGCTAGCCAACGAACTGATGGGCTATTGGATATTCGGGTCGTGGTGGTGTGACATCCACTCGGCCATGGATGTGCTGCTGTGTACCTCGTCCATAATGAATTTATGCCTGATATCGCTGGATCGCTATTGGAGCATAACGAAGGCGGTGGATTATCTGAAATCACGTACACCGGCACGTGCAGCTTTAATGATTGCAGCCGTTTGGATAATGTCGGCTCTGATATGCATACCACCGTTGCTGGGCTGGAAGGTGAAAATGCCCGAAGGTCCTTTGCCAAAGTGTGCGGTAAGTTGTGCCGTCTTTATTGTGTTTCAATGTGATTTTGTTTCTAATTAGGCTTGAATTATTGATAATTAATGGGGATTTGAAAGAAAAATGCAAGGGTTGTAGGATTGTAAAAAATATTTACACTGTGCAACAAAAATTAAATTTTTGTCAATAATTACTGGGAAAATCCAGCAAATTTTGAAATAGAGTCAAAAAAAGAAGACACCGGTATAGGCCTTTAGAAAGTTTACATCGAAAAGTTATTAAAATTGAGGATGCAATTTCCCCCCTCCACCACACTTTTGGAAATTTTCGGATTAGGATTCTTCGGAATCCTTGCGAATAAGTAATAATAATAGTGTCTTTGGAAATATTGCAGATAAAAACAGAAAGATTTTTGTTGTCGATAATTTTGATTTTAAAACGAGTCATCATAGTGGTCTTTTTGGTCCTTTTTTGAAAATATGGCTAAAAACTCCCTTTAAACGGGATCGTAACAAGTCAAAATATTCTACAAAATTATTTTTCATAAAATTCTACTATCGGTCTTAGAAGACGTCAAAAGTCTAAATTTTACCTTAGGGCTAGGAATTCATATATGTATATATTTAAATCACATTTTAGGGTTAAAGCCGTACTTTATGTGAGTTTGTGCAAAAATCTCCTACAAAGCAACAGTTTAGGAGGGTGAGGTCAAAGACAAAAATATTTCCCATCAAATTTCACCATAAGTCACTGAAGGAAAGATATCTTTGTTTCCATTTTATATCAATAATATATTTGCATCAATGTTCCCAAAAAAAAAATTGAAAATATTCTCTTTTTTATAAATTTTTCCTAGTCCTTTTTCGAGTTGATGCCTTAAAATAACATAAATGTTCATTTTAAAGGAAAAGTGTCAAAAGAAGAAATATTCTTTACCAAATTCTACTTCATTTTTCGGAATAAACCTATATAAGAAATTTGAAGAAAATTTAATTCCAAATTTATACATTACCAGTGAAAATTATGTTTTTATTTTTTTTACTACTAATTTAATTCAATTTTAAGAAAATTTCAAGACAAAAGTTTGAGTCAAATTTTAAGTCAAATATTTTAGAAGAATTTTCATTGGGAGTCTCTGAGCAAATAAAATCTGTATACTTAATATTTACCATGGAAAAGTATCATCAATTTTGGCATAAAACCCCTTCTTTGAGTTTTGAAAACATTGCGGAATTTTCTGACAAATTCATTGGCCACTAGCCAGATTGGCTGGCTAAAAATTCTTAGTGGATTTTACACGTCTTGTGGATCAATCAATAAAAAAAACACTAAGGAAAAATCAAAAGTCGGGCGGGGCCGATGATACTCTACACCACTATGCATATTTAGTAGAGCACCAGTAACAAAATTATTTGTTTGAAGTAGATCATATCACCTATCAATATTTGGTTTTAGAGCAGCTATAATTTGGTTTCAGAGGAAATATTGGTTTCAGAGGAACATATTGGAGGCATCTCCAATTCTGAATCGATTTTCACTAAATTTGACGGCGACATTTTAATCTTTTATGCCAAATAACATTGATATGGGGTGCATGATACTACTTCGAGAAGGATTATATTAAAAAAAAATATATGTATATATATCTGAGCCGAGTTCCGCCAAATGGAAACCTACATTCCGAATTTTACTCCATTTTGGTTGATATTAGCAATTATTTGCACAATAAACCTGAAATCGGATAAAGGATATGTATAGGGAGCTATATCCAAATCTTGGCCGTTCTCGATAAAATTTGGCAAATATATTTCAGAGCTTTATAAGATATCTGGTACCAAATATCATTGTTGTCGAATGCATATTACGAATATGAGGGACTTAGACTCCAAATCGGATGAAACATATATATGAGAGCTATAGCTATACTGAACCGATTTTCTCTAACGCACTTGCTCCCAGACTGAATTCGGTCGGATGTGCCAAAATTCAGGACTTTTTCAGAGATATTTGCTATCTGGTGCACAATTAACCCGAAATCGGTTAAGGGAGCATTATTCAAATCTGCACCGACCTTCACAAAATTGTATATACACATTTCAGAGCTGTATCTGATATCTGCTACCAAAGATCATTGTTGTGGAATGCATATTACGCTTGTAAGGGACTTTAAACCTCAAATCAGATAAAACATAAGTACTGGCTTTTAGGATGAATTCGATCGTAATTGCAAAAACTCAGTCCATTTGGGCTGATATTAGCCATGTGGTGCACAATAAACCTGATATCGGATTAAACTGATATCCGATCTCGATAAAATTTGACACAGGTATTTTCGATCAATATCTGATGTCCGGTACCAAAATTTCATTCTTCTGGAGTGCATATTACGCTTTTAAGGGACTTTAAAACCCAAATCGTATAAAACATATATATATAGCTATATCTGAACCGATTTACAAAATTTGAAGTACTGGATTTTAGGATGAATTCGATCGTAATTCAAAAAACTCAGTCCATTTGGGCTGATATTAGCCATATGGTGCATAATAAACCTGATATCCGATCTCGATAAAATTTAACAGAGGTATTTTCGAGCAGTATCTGCTGTCTGGTACCAAATATCATTCTTCTGAAGTGCATATTACGCATGTGAGGGACTTGAACTCCAAATCTGAACCGATTTTCTCCAAATTTTATTTGCTTGCCTCTACACAGAATTCAGTGGGATGTGCTAAAATACAGGTGCATTATATTAGCAATTTGGTGCACATTTAACCCGAAATCTGATAAAAAATATATGGCAGCTATGTCTAAATCTGATCCGATTATCACCAATTTCAATAGGGTTCGTCCTTGGGCCAAACAAATATTGTTTGCATAATTTCATCTCAATCGGATAGACCCATATTTTGTTCACAAAAATACATGGACGGAAGGACGGACTGATATGCATAAATCGACTCATGTATCTATCTTGCTTCCTTTTCCATGTTAAAATCAAATGCACAAATACCTAATACCCCTTACCACTATATGTTGTAGGGTATAAAAAAACATCCGATAGAAAGACTATTCGGAACATAGATAAATTTCGAATCAGGAACTTACCCGTCCACTTTTTCTTGTATCCTCCCAGAAATCATAAAATAAACAAGTAAAAAAGCAGTAAGTTCGGCTGGGCCGAACTTTGAATACCCTCCACCATTTCCACAAAATACCTAATATCGGGGGTACCGTTATATGGGGGCTATACGATATCGTGGACCTATATAGATAATTCTTTTCCGATGTATAAAGTACGCACAAGGGACTCCTTGTGTGGAATTTTAGACAATTCAATTGAAAAATTTGGCTAACATCATCAAAATCCGAATATTGGCGTGTACCGTTATATGGGGGCTATACGATATCGTGAACCTATATATAGATAATTCTCTTCCGAGGTATAAAGTACTCACAAGGAACTCCTTGTGTGGATTTTCAGACCATTCCATTAGAAAATGTGGCTAAAATCATTAAAATACGGAAAATGGGAGGGGGGACCGTTATATGGGGGCTATACAATATCGTGAACCGATATAGCCCATCTTCGAACTTGACCTGTCTGCAGACAAAAGAGAGATTTGTGCAAAGTTTTAGCTTCCTATCTTAATTCGTTTAGACTGTAGCGTGCTTACAACAGACGGACAGACAGGGCTAAATCGTCTTAGAATTTTAAGCCGATCAAGAATATATATACTTGGCTGGGTCTAAAATAATTATTTCGATGAGTTACAAACGGAATGACGAACTTAATATACCCTCCATACTATGTATGGTGGAGAGTATAAAAAAAACTTGAATCTTATAAGAAGACCGAAATCGGAGTCTATATGTGGGAAAACCAAGTGGGAAAATTAATGCAGTTTCAAATTTAGTCATTCAGATCAACACCATCTTCGAATTTCGGGTATAAGCGCAGACTCCTAATTTCCTAAGAGGAATTTGGCTCCTCAAAAGTTATCGAATTTTAAATCCTCCTCTTTAAAGATATGAAGGCTCACACGTCACCTTAGTTGTAAGTACATATGTATAAAATAGGCCACATATAGTTGGTCTGGGTTATAATTCCCTCACCTTCCCTCATAGAATATATAATATCCAAAATGTAAAAAATTCGTTTACTAATTACAATCAATCGAATTGAAGATTACAAGTCACGGTGGTAATTGAAAAACATGTTTAGAATGCAAACGACCACAGACAAGAAAGAAAAATAGAAAAAAAAAAAATCAATTGCGTATAATTAGTATTTAATTTGTTGCTGTCGATGTCGTCATTATCGTCGTCGTCGTAGTCGTAGTCGTCACCGTTGCCGTTGATGTTTTGCTGTTTGTGTCGCCGCCTATGTAAATATTATGACATTGCCGATAAACGATAATATTTATATTTAAGTCATGCATTTAAACAATGTTTTCGTTGTTGGTGTTTTTTTTTTTTTTTTTTTTTTTTCAACTATACCGCCACCTGCAATTCTGGAGGTTATAATAGCCAAGGGTGGACGCCTATTTGAGATGCCTTTGAATGTAATAGGTAAAAATGTTTGTTGTTTCAAACTACAAAGTTTCCAATAATTTGCTGTTTTTTGTTTTTCTTCACCCTCATGTTTGCTTTGGACTCAAACCATTGCGGATGTGGCAGAGATAAATATTTTCATTTATAAATTAAATCAATATTGAAGGTTGTTTGATGAAAAATAATTAGAATGCATTTAATTGAATATTGTTTTTGGAGATTTTCTAATAGCAGGGGGAACAAGGGAAATTAGGTGTAATAGGAGGAGAGGGGTGGGGTTTGGGAAAATTGAAAAGGACATTCTACTAACATATGACTTTTTTACTACTTTAGAGGATGTCAGCTATATGGCTAGAGGGGGTATATATCATTTGATAGGGCCAAAGCTTGCCTCAGCGTAATAAAAGTTTTATACCCTAGGACCAAATCCGTTTCAGGACATTGGGAGTCGATCTAGCGATGTCTGTCCGTCCACCTGG